TTTGAAGGTTAGTAATTAAGTTCGAAAAATCTTGGCAGCGTTTTGATTTCATGTCATCAATGTAACTCAGTTTCCATAGTTATTAGTACATTCGTTGCAAGCTGTAAGTAAAGTTGTTTGCCATATGTTTCGATTACCTTAGCAGTCGATTCTTTCGATTTTTCAGGGGCAATATCTGTCAACGTGCTATGTACGTTTCACCTTACCACGGACCTTTGAAGACAGTTTTGTTTTGAAGACAGTTTTTCACAGAATATTTTGTTTTGCTGTAGCAGCGTTCGACAGGTAGTCGTTTAGAATAGTTTTCAACAGTTTGGGTTTGCACACACGGATATGTTTGTCGTTTGAGATCTGAGCTCATGCCAAAGGTACATTTATGCATTTACCACAGTTACGCTCTTGGCAATGCTCGTCTACGCAAGGCCGCGTTTTCGTTGTTGCGTTTTCTCGCGGGGTGCACGTTTTTATGCGGTTGTGTATTTTCTGTTGTTCTGTACGTAAACTTTTGTTTCATTGAGCATCAAGGTTTATTTTATGTCCGTAGGATAGGCTTCATAATGACGCAGATAACCTTTCTTCCTTGAGTCTAATGCGTATTCGCGCCTCACTCCTCTGATCTTGGTATTCTGTTTCGCGCGTTTTGTGGCCGATCCTGATTTTGCAGGCTGTGTCGATTTTAGAGTGGTTTATGTCATTGGCCCTATCGTGGAACATCCGGTGCATGACGTCACCCCGACGTTTTTAACTTCGTTACCAATCGCAGTTGCTCGTGAGGCAGATTTCGTAGCGCATGAAGTGCTCTTGAAACGGAATCTTACAAATGCAATTAGCCAGGTAACTGCCGTCCTCAGATATGCGTTTTCAGTAAGTAATGCTGAAATGTAATGTCATCCTGTAGATGCCGGTAGTATTGATTCCGGTTCATTTTGACCGTCCCGTTGAAAGTTCGGACCACCCTAGCATCCTGTGGTCAGTATGCCTGCGACCATTCATAACGAAGGATTTCATGACTGGCGTTCCTGCTGAACCTGGCAAAGATATACCATCAGACGTAAGCTTTTTCGTGTTTTGCCCTTGATGCTCGTCATTACGATGTTTTAAACGTTTAGGTTCCGAATTCTTTAGCAGATTCAGTTCTGAAGAAAGTACCTTTCCTGTCTCGAGTTGTATACGATCTTACTCCTAAGCCACCCGGAACCGTGGAATGGGAATGAAATGTATGAAACGTGATTGACTATGTCTTAGTTTTCAAACAGGTTACCCAAAACTAATGGTCTGCGCTCGAGAATACTTTGATGTAATTTTCAACCTTAACAGGTGTTTGTCTACGAAACGGAGGTCTGCTCGGCCCATGTCGTTTTCTTGTCTTACCTGTCTCTGTCATAGCGTTATATGATCGGTTCATACATGCTGTAATATTATATTACCCTCACTTCGTATAATAGTTAACGGCGCTAGCATTTGTCTCAGTTACCTGGATTTTACTGATAAATTTTATTCATGTATCGACTAGACAGACAAACGCTCGTTAACTGATCAGTAAAATTTTACATGATATTTGGCTTCTTAAATTTATAGTAACGTGTTGACAGACTTGCGCAGTTCATCCTTAGTTTTGTGAATTCATTTGCATCGATAATTTGTTTTTTCAAGTAAGCAAGCGTGAATTTATATATACATATATATAAATTCATAACAGCTGTTATCTCAAGGTCACAGACGGTCGATGTTACCAGCCGCAGTCTTTCTATGGCGTTTATGACTGCGCTCAAGAAACAGCGTTGTGGCACAGTACGTAAGAACTCGGCTTCAGTATTTCGGGGTTAAGGGTTCGATTCCGGCGGGGAGCGAGTTTTGTTTTAACCACGGATTCCCTTGAACAAGAAATTTTCCACATTTATTCAGACTGGGTTTGTTCAGTCGGTAGAGCGTCTAACTCAGAACCGATAAGCTCTGAGTCAAACTCCTGTCAGGGTCACGCCTTTCTTCCATCCGAAAGTGATAAATGGTTGGCGTTCTGTGGGAAGGAACTCTTCCATCAACTTCATAAAACGAAGAGCTCCAGAATCGCTCCATCAAGAAGCTTTTAGAAAGACCAAGATTCCAACCTTTGCCAACTTTGTTTTTTTCGATCGAAGGAGTTACAGGGCCTTCAACATAAACGGTGACTCAATATCCTCTATTATGAAGAATTCTGAGAGTTAACCCCTATTTGGCTGACAATATTGCGTCAACCGACTGTTATTGGACGCGGATCTTGGAAATTTTACCAACTTCAGTTCATCGATGGAAGGTTGTTCACCTACCGGAAAATTTGCCTGTCACAGATTGGTCAAGTTACTTGGTCAGCGGTGGAGGCACAGAGGCAAATTGAAAATGTTAAAGGAGGTCGATTTGCGATCACCACTATCGACGACAAATCAGGTAACATATAGAAGGATAACATTGAAAATTTATCACAGCTAAGAATTTTAATTCTAACTTTTGAGTGGAATTTTATGGATCGCCAAGAACGCGGAGCGTGTTAAAAAAAAAGTTACTAATATGTAACGGCATTGATTATTTTCCGTTTATCTATATCCCGGTAGGACAGCCTGTGAAATAGAAACGGTAGAAAATTTGGTTTTTTGGATAGTTCCATTGACTGCTCTCTTAGAAGTAGTGGAAAGTATGCTTGTCCATCTGAGGATGACTTGTTTGGGATTTCGATCTGCCTCCGCAATTATCTTCCTGCAGGAGCCACAGTTGCAATGAAATATTTTTGGATTGAACGTACTTTGGTAATGAGAGGTCTTCTTTCGTCGTATGGCTGAAAGGTGCGAACATCAACTTTACATTTGAATTTCCAAATTTCTAAGCCAATGAATGGCCGCCGCAGTGGCATTCTAGATACCAGTTAGTTCCGTAGCACTACTGCACCAGGCGTTCGGATATAACGTGCTGCATGGTCTGATTTTCATGGCAGCAGTCACAGCGTGGATTTGATTCATTTTTCAACGGTGAAGGTGTCTGCAGCGCCCTTGTCCTGTCTGAATGCGGTTTAACCTCGACAATTTTTGGCCACCTCGGCCTCAAGCCATGTCTGTGACAAGGTGGTTCTGCGGACGGGTTGAAGATAAGGTCTTTGTTATGGGAGGCTGTTGCGTCCCACCTGCTCGAAACTGTTCCTCAAGAGTCAGTCGTAGCATGGTCGATCGTTCACTTAGTGAGTGGTGTGCTTTCAGGCGTTGTATCCGGGACTGTTTGAAGGCACGATGGATGCAGAGATAATGTGCATCCATGGTTCAGAAAACGCGAGATGCCTGCTCGTTTGTACGGAATTGATTGGATAAACATCCGTCGAATTCGGTAACCACTGCATTTAGATTGACTTCAGGGTTTCTGTTACGATTCGTATAGTCTTATTGTGCGGCGTGTCTACATTTATTACGTGGCAGATGTAGCTCCAGACTGGGGAGCAGTATTCCACGGCAGAGCACAAGAGTGCTAGGGCTGTAGTAGGCAGCATCGGAAAGGTGCCATGCCGGCAAGTTTCCGTAACAGATTTATCCCGAGTCATAATCAGGATAAAGTCAAACATCCGTCGCAGTAAACGTAGTAACAGTCTCATTTTCCTACCTTACAACATTATAGCTTATAAATATTGCATTTTTCAACTTAAGTAACAAAAGATCTAGCTATTAGGAGTAGAAATCGCACGGAGCCTGCGATTCGAAATAAGCCCCTGTTTATATTAATGCGAAACAGCTGCATTGCGCCGTTTCCATGGCGAAGGGGATCTTGTGTTCTCGATCCAAGTTCAAGGCACAGTAAAGAGGAAGATGTAAGTTCCTTTCCTTA